AAAGAAAGAAAAAGAAAAAAATGATAGCCCAGAATGCCTCAAATGTTATTTTCGGGCGTCTAGAACACAAAAATTTCGCGGGGGGATGCCCCTGGACCCCCTAGGACATTGTTGTCTCAATCGGCCCAAATTTTGGCCCCCCTTTTGGACATCTCTGGATCCACCCCTGTTTGAGGAACCTTTTCCTTAAATATACACAACTAACTTACTAAAAAACTCCAAAAAAAATCCAATCAGGGGAACATTGTTAATTTTAAAGATATATAATGAGTTAAAATCAAACAGTTTATTGCACAACTGCTGTGTTGAAGCATATTGTACGGTATAAAAGCATGTCATTGTCACGTTGTTGCTAACCAATGATTTTATAAACACAAGATGGCGTTCTCCACGATTTACACGTAACAGATAGAAGCGTCGATTTGGCACAGAAAAGTAATCAATTTTGGGAGAGGGCGTCCTAGTCGTTGCCATGGATCTGAGATACAGTAAGGTGTTCGCGTTACAGCAAAGTTTGTTACCAAGTACGTTAATTGTTCCTTAAAAGAGAGGGCGCTTTGTAAATTGGACGCTTCTAATTGTTACTCGTAAACATCGCACGGCCTATGCTATGGTCAAAGAGTTGCTCGATGCTAACGAAAAAAATGTTAATAAGATAATACGCCCGTGCGCGATCCAAAGGCGGGAAACACATTGGTTTGTCGCGTCAAAAGGATCTGTTGCTAGCTAGCAAAGATCTTATAATAACAAGATAGCGTTCTCAGCTATTTCTGAGTGAAAATTCTGTAATAACACGGTGTAGGATGCCCTCTTGCAATTACAATTACTTTTGGACTTTGACATCAATGATCTCGGATGCAAATTCTGGAACAACTGCCTTAGTAACAACTAGGACGCCCTCTCTCAATTATAATTACTGTACTTTCTATTGTTTTCTGCATGTATTGGACGTTTTTGTTACACACAAACCGCAGAGAATGCTATCTTGTTATTATAAGATCTTTGTTGCTGAGTGATCTCTTTCTCAATAATACTTCCATGATTTAATATGTTGTGACTGTGAGAAGAACACTGAGGTAAACAAATTTAGAAATTAAAAGTTAATTAGGGCCTAGGCTAGTCTAGCGCCTCAAAAGGTTTAGGTCGTCTAGGCTAGATAATAATATAAAGTATAATAATTAATAGGCCTTATAATTTGTAACTATTATTATTATTATTATTGTTATTATTATTATTATTATTATTTATTTCTAACTATTTATAATATAAATAGTAGGCCTTGGCTTTCGGCTTTGGACCTGTGTGTATTATAGGCCTATCTACACTGTCAACCGGCCCTGTAAACCTAATAATAGGCCTAGCCTAGGCTAGTGGAGGCTAGTCAGCCCTACCTTGCTACTGCTAGGCCTAGATAGGCCTGGTAGGCTAAGGTTGTACCACTGCCAGGGAGTTGTTATTTATTGCTCACTCACTATAACAACTCCCTGGTTATACTTACAACAATCAAATCATGATAAAAACACTTTTACAAAAGTTCAAAAGCTTTTAAAAATAATCACTTATAACATACTAAAAGCTAATACAAACCTGGAATGGGATAGTGGATTTAAACAATCATAAGTATCAGAATAGCAGAATATGGTCTCTATAAAACAGGTCCTTCGCTTCAGTATTGTAATTGCAAAACGAGGCTATATTTAGAATTGGCTTTTTTGACGGGATTTTCCCAAAACACGCAATTATATTGTAAATAACGAGCGCCACCTACCGTTTGTGATGTGCAGGGCATGCGGCAAAGAGAGCTGATTGTTGTTTCACAGATCATAGGGTCTCAGTGTGTTTATATCATTGGGCCATGGAATGTGACCACTGCTTGGGATTTATTCCAAGATATTGGGATTTTTAATGACAACTTTCATTAAATCTTGGGATTTTTGGAATGTAATGGAATTTGGAAGTTATTATGAAATAAACAAAAAGGTTACTTAATGGTGTAATCACCGTAGTTGACGGTTGTGAGAAGAGCTGTTCATTTGTTAAAAATGAAAGACTCATTTGAAGCTTAGTAGTCGGTTTTCTGATACGATTTTTGTTTAGAGTCACGTTTTGCCTTTTCTAATAAATATGTGCATTTTTAAGTTAAATCTCTCGATATGTGTCCCACTGGCTGTATGCTTATGATTCAGACATGTGTGTAGAGCTGAAAAAGTTAAGCAAGAACATGCTGGGAGGTAACTCTCCTGAATAAAGCACCTAGTTGCCAGGAAATTGCACCGTCTCATACTTTGCAAATGCTTTTCATTGTGTTTTGATTTGACAGTTAGCAATTTCAATCAAATTCATAAATATTCTTTAGGCTACTCTTTACTAGCTTACTCCTCCCGAAAAAAGGAAGTTAAAAATAACACCTTTTTTTGTATGAAATATTTTGTGTAATACAAAAATACTGTATAACAACAATTGACCTGTCATTATTGTATGTATATTATTTTATTTTATGTAAGACATTCCCCTCTTTAAAATTCTCATCAGTTGATCTAAAAAAAGAACGAGTTATTGGTCTCGAAAATCCAGACAATGTTCCGTTATAGGCCTACAGTAGAAATTACAGTACGGTATATTAGAGTATAAAATTAATTGAAAAGGCTTTAAAATTAAACTTAAATGTACATGTACTAAGATTTTACAAATCTTGGGATTTTTAAAGCAATTTTTTTTAGACTTAATCTTGGGATTTTTAATTTTTCCCAGCGGTCACGCTGCATCGGGCTCGGTACCCATACCGACTATTTCACAGTACGGTGCAGGCGCTTGGGGTGCAACGATGTAATAGCAATGTAATCAAATGCCGTAGCCAGCTATTGTGAGAGTTGTGAAAATTGGTCAACATTGTTTGAATTACGTGTAAAGTGGGTCCACCCTGATATTGTCCCACACTGTTTGAAAACCCTGGCTACGGCATTGAATGCAATGTAAATACAATTCGTTTACGAAATGAAATCAATAGAAATTTTATTAAAACAACACTGTTCCCTATATTATTTCATGACACAATGTTTAGGCCTATAACCAAATATTAATTATTTTTATATTGAGCTGTTAGATGAGAAGCATGAACAGGTAAGTCTAACGACTTTGTTAGGCCTACAGTGGAGTTTAGAAGTAGGCTATACACAAAAAAATTAATGAGGATCAAAGGATTGGTTTACACAAACTAGTAACATGCGTTAGACCTATACTAATGTCCATTCTAAAAATTTAGAAGAAAAAATCCTGGCGCGACCAAAATATGAGGGGGCGTGGAATTTATTTTCGGTGGCCACGCCAATTGAAAAATATTGCTTCTTAGATTCCCGAATACACGTTAACCGTGACAGCATAAGCATAAGCCTAGCCTAATTTTTTTTTGCTTCGAAGTTTTCGATTGGGGGGGGGGGGGAAGGCAAGCTTTTTGTGGGGGGCCCCCCTTGCCCCCACGCCGCCCCCCCCCCCTTGGATACGCCACTGCATGTGCCTCAAAAACACTTTTTAACTAATGTAAGTCAACTCTGAACATGTTATTTTTTGTCAAAATATTAAGTAACAAGAATGTACTTTAGGTGTGTTATAAAACAAATACTGTAATGAGTGTTTTTTATTCACGCAATGGAAAAAAAATATTTTCATTCATTGAAAAATTGGCTGTCTTATTCGACTCGGCTCCATCTCGCCGAATGGAACAAACAGTCAATTGTTAAACTCATCAAAATACTTCCTATTGCCCTCATAAATATTCATTTGTATAATAGTGTAACTAAAGCACGACCAAAGAAAATATGAATCTAGTTTATGAAATTGTATCTGGTTCTCCTTTTAATCATATTTAGATATACATTTGTTAGAAATATTTTTTGGCTAATTATTGACTTAAATAGTTAAATAGTAGTAAATCTTAATGGAATGACGCTAAAAAATGCAGTAATGTTGTAAATTCATACAGTGAAGATATTCGCCGTACCACCGGAAAATATTGATGTTTCTCCGGCTTTATTATCTCAAAGAAAATTGTTTTATAATTGAATTTCAAGACGTAAGTAAGTTTATGAGACGGACACATACAACTTGGTCGGGAAATGTGTTTAATTAGTCGAATAATATTTGAATTTTCTTTTCCTTGCAATATTATCCTGTAAAATATATATGAAAGTAGTTTAAATAATACACTGTAAAGTAGTGTCTGATTTAAATGAAAAGTTCCACAAAATTTTGTTCCACTTTTGGTGGCACGTTTAAAAGCTAAACGTGTTTAGGCATAGCCTGATGTACTTAGGATCTTGACGTGTTTAACTTCAAATGTACTTGCGTATTTGACTTCATGATTTAATATGGATTCAATTGGACTTCATATTTTTTCCTTGTAAAAGGAAAACTCTTATATGCACTAATTGACCCCATGTTATCATTTCAATATTTTTTTCTATATTACCGTTGTTTTACAAAAAAGTATATTTGCCTATATATTTGAGGAAGGAATCTGACGAAAACTACTTAGTATAATTAAGGAGAACATCCGGAGGAAATCACTTGATAGTGCTTGCCCTCTTGGTAATGTTCCTATCGGGTTTTTTTAATTCTTTTATAATAATGTAAGCAAGTTGTAATTGTCTACACTGTTTTTCAACAGAAATTGACTAAATGAAACGAAAATAATGAAAATTGTAATATCGTATATTAACTAAATAAAAAAAAATGAGATTAGCTGCGTGCTTGGTGACATAGTTAACACCAAGTCGATTTCATAATGACTTGTATACTATTATTATTTTTTTAGGCAAACACAGTCATTTTATTATTAGGCCTGTATTATTACTATGACCGTATTTATTATTATCAATAGGCCTATAATTATTAATAGAATATTATGGTCATGTGAAATACAATTTCATTCTTTCCCATGTTAACGTTAATTAAGCAAGTTTGTTATAATAATAATGTTTTGATATCAAGATTGTGAATAGGCCTATTAGTAATACTGGACCAATTACCGGTACGATTTTAAACAAATTCAGATACGAAATATGATCTGATTAGTAATATTGTTTTACAAAGCTCTCGTTTATAAATTCTTCAAACTCACAAGGAATAGACTTGTTATAGTCCCTTTAATTTAAAAAAAAAAAAAAGTTAAAACTTTTTTAAAAATGAAACTGTAACAAGAATTTTTTCAAACTGAATGCAGTAATCGACGTTAATTCTAGGATAAAATTTGGGATTCTCCTAAATGCATTGCCATCAGTAATTCTGATCGACATTTTTCATCTTTAAATGTTTGGCACGGGTTGTTTTTAAAAAGGACTATAATAATTATAATTGTAAAAATCTACTCTATATTTTGAAGTTTAGTGTGTTTAGTATCCATCTTTCGTATTCACGGTCGCTCATTCTTGTTATTCTCTTTGCTTCAATTTGATCTAAAATACGAGAGGCAACGTCCCAGTTCAAGCCATACTCAGCCATTATCAAACGTTTACGTCTCTATATGAAAAAAATATAAAATATAAACAAGTTATAATATTACAATCAGAGGTGTAACAAGGGGCTTTGGCGATCGGGAAAACAATAGAAATGGCGCCCCTGCATTCATAGCTATTTTTTTTTTTCGTTTTGGGCATGCAGTGGTTGTTATTAGTTGATAAAAGAAAATATCAAAAACTTCATAAATATTTTTGGAATTGGGAAGCCCCTTTGTCTATGATTAATTAGATATATGTGCCCTGATACAGCCCAGAAATTATTCCACCGATTAAAATCAACAGTTTACCATTGGACCATGGATGTTTTTTTTTTCACTATTAATTAGGTTACATGACTAAACCGACAAGAAAGGCAAGTCGTAAAAGTATGCATGACACTCCAAAATCTAAGAACTATTATTATTATTATTATTATTATTATTATTATTATTATTATTATTATTATTATTATTATCATTATTATTATTATTATTATTATTTATTATTATTATTTCTTGTATTAACTTCCAAAGTGTGAGAAATCCTGTCAAATCGTATCACAATGAAGCTTTTTGTCGTACCTGTATTTGGGTCGAGTTACGTGGTTTCTGCATCAACACATGGGCTATCTCACGCTCATCATATGTTCTCCAGACCTTTTCAGTAATGTCAATCTTTATTCCATCTTTCTTCATCATTTCCATCACCATTTCTACATTCCCGTTACATTTGAAAAGGTATTCAGCAACCTCCTGCATTGTCAGTTTGGTTCCAGTATCTTTCCTTAATCCCAGTTGATGGATTTCACATATCTATAAGAAATTTAAAAAAATAGGCCGTTCTGGAATGTCAATCAAACTTAACAACTGACCAATCAGAAGAAGGCCAAAAATGCGCGCGTGTCAAAACAAACACTCGTGTTGTCCACAAACGCACGTGTTTGCGTATGTTTTTACACTGTCGTTTTGGGACCATAGTAATAATATCCAAAGGGCGGAACTTAGAGGAAAGGTCCATTATACAAAATATTGTTTAAACGGTCTGGAAATAAAAGTTCAGTTACAATTTTGACAAGTAAATTTATAATCGTATTAAGCACTTTGTCAATTACATTAATCGCTAAAGCATGCCAATTTACCTCCTCGATCGAGAAGTAAAATATAAAATTTTATCCACTCTTTAAACATACAAATGTAAACCTGTAAATATCAGCACTTTCTACGCCATGTAAAATATAATATTTGGATAGTTGGTGGGCATCGAATTTAACACTAATCACTATCCACAAGCTCGGTGGTCTGCTGTTCAGGAAACCAGGCTAGTATTCTGAAGGTCGTGGGTTGGATTTCCACCCGAATCACCTGCAAATTTGTTTTGCCAGTATTTGGGAACGTACTGAGTATTCCAGGCCCGTAACCAGCTTTTGTAATGGCGGGGGGGGGGGATCTTTTTCAATTTGAGTGGAACTTTTTGGGTCCAGGGGTTGCCTCGAACAGCGGCGGCTTTAGGATATATTTTCTGGGGGCGCCAAGTTGTCCGACAGGGGGACTTGAGCTCGTAGGCTCGCGCTGGGGGAAGGGCTTCCCCTCCCAAATGAGATTTTTTAAGAATAGCAACCTTTGGATGGCCGGAAAAATGGCACTCTCATACTGTGAGAGACATGTGTTTGCTTGGTGTGGGCCTATTTTTATATGTTTTATGGTCTGACTACCCGACAAGCTCTGTCCGGCGGGGGGAGGGGGATTGACCTGTCCGGTGGGGGGACTTAAGCTCCCTGTCACCCGCTGGCGCCGCCAATACTCTCGAAAAATGTTAAAAACCATGACCGCCACCTTTAATTCAAAATGCTCTTCCTGTGTGTTTGAGCTGCTTTCAAAGGAATTACATTTTTCGTGAATTAAAACTGAATCGATTTGATATGTGCAAATATTGAAGAAGCGGCAGTAGGCTATACCATGCAATATTGTTAGGAGATCAAATGTAGTAGTCTACAGACAGGATCATATCATATACATCATCATCATCATCATCATCATCATCATCATCATCATCATCATCATCATCATCATCATCATCATCATCATCATCATCATCATCATCATCTTCATCTTCCTTTACTGTGCAGAACGCCTTTTAAGTATAGTCGCACATAAAAACTACAGTGCATGTCATAGGCTTAGTAAGGCCAAGGCACACATATCTATTAAACTACTTACTATGTTACTTAGTAATGATGGTAGAATTGATAATAGTGATTTATGAAAGATTATGAAAACAGTGACAACAAAGTTGTGTTTTGTTTTGCTCTAGTAAAGCGGACTCCCTATTCTGTGGGGGATCGTCCGATCCCCTTGGTTACGGACCTGTATTCGGTACGATAGTACGTCAGGGAGGGCAAAACATCACTCTTATGTATGATAATAATTGTGGTGTTAGTGTTGAAAATAATGGCAACAATGCTGAGGATCGTCATCACTATGATCATCATGATCATCATGGCTAGTGCAATAATGATGATGATAATGACAGTGAATGTAAAAGTGATTATTATGATAGTGTGAAATGCTGCTGTTGTTGTTGATGATCAAGATTATAATGATGATGTTGATGATGATGGTCTTCATCATGATGCTTATGTGATAGTACTTTTATACCTGAGCCTCGACTTTGCGAACACAAGTACTTGTAGCCTTTCTAACATCACCTCGATGCTTCACTAGTGCACGAATGACTGATGACTCTGCAATTTTTACAGATGGTATCAATCGATGCAGATCTCTGGTTGCTGATGCACGTACACTGGCAATAAACTCCTTATAGTTGAGTTCTAGCCAATGAAGAAAATTCCCGCCAAATATTTCACACTGCGCTTTGGCAATGTGTATATCATCTGTAGTGAATCCTCTCCTTTTTGCTTCCTTAATTTAAAAGGTAAAAATGTGAACAGTTAATTCTTTGAACTGTATACCTATACAACAATATTAGGCCTAACTGTTTACCGTATTATTGTAGTATTTTTCTCTCTTTCTCTTTCGGGAGATCCCACTTTTATTTTAATCTCGAAGACAATATTTTAATGAGTATAAATATTTAAATTTAAATGAACACTTACAACATACATTCTAAGAATTAATTCTCGACATTTTGTCCATCCCATTGAGCCATATATTAAAAACATACTCATTTGTAATAAACATTTAAACTTTGAACAAAACAACACGCACTCAAAATACTTTTCAATCATTGATATTTGCCTTTATTTTCTGATCTTTTATTAAGCAAGAGTTGTAAATAAAACTAAAGAGAAAAGTTTGTTTACAAAAAGTTTGGGTTTTTTTTCATATAGCTTGAATTGTTTTACATTTAGCTAGCATGTGGTTTTCCATCCCTTTAAATTTATTATTATTATTTTTATTATTATTATTATTATTATTATTATTATTATTATTATTATTATTATTATTATTATTATTATTATTATTATTAATAATAATAATAATAATAATAATAATAATAATAATAATAATAATAATAATAATATTATATTCATTAATACATTTATGTAAAAATCTAATTCTACCTGTATCATATGCTTGTCATCATCTTGATTAAGGACTATACCTTGTTGTTCTGGCACTGAAATAACAATCCAATGATCATTACAAAGATTAAATTGTAATCTGTTTCTATTTTAACATTGTCAATTTGGAAAAGTTTTCTGTAGAAATGTATTTAGGTATTTAGGCCAAGCAAAGCCACGCTACACCGATATTAAAGATCCTGTTTTACCACTCACCGTTTTCATGTTCACTGGGCCCGTCAGCAAAAATGTCATCATCTACAATTTGGTGAGTATGTGCCGATAAACTTTTACTAAACGCACCAGGCTTCTTTCGGGAGAACTGTTCAGAAGAGTGATCGTGCATTCCAAGTGAGATGAGTTCCCCTTGCAGCAAAGATGTCGTGCGCCCCTGTCGGCTATTGGTAATCTCGATCGCCTCAATAGCTTTCATTCGCACCATGAGCATTTTCTGCTTTTGTAATAATTCCGATTTTTTTGTCACTAACGCGTCATATTCTTCAGTATAATGCTCCCTGTCCATTGCGTCTAATTTAATTTGAATTGAGTTTAGTTCTTTAGAAATATTTTCATTCTTTGATTTCAATGTCTGAGCTGCATTGTTAAAACTTTTATCCAGTGGAATGGATAATTGCACGTCGGCATCACCCACATGAGCCGGTGATTCGTAGTTTTCAAGAAGATCCTTTAGTGGTTCTTCTTTGTTAGATGGAAACGCATTTATGTCCGTGCGCTCAACAGAACTTGCTCCCTGTACGGGAATTTTTTTAAGGTAAGTTCCACTGTTGATATCTCTACTCTCATTGGAAAACTCAATGTTATTAGGCCTACTAGTCTTTGGGGGACTATTCGGGTCAATATCTGTAACAATAATATTATAAATACAGTTAGCAACATTTGATAGGCCTATAGTTTCTGCTGAATATTAAATACAATTGCACTAATAATGCATCTTTATTTAGCTATTATTAGCATAAATTATGTTTTCATCATATACATGTCCACTGGTTGGAATTCCGACAACGTTCTTTTGCTACAAAAATATGCATTACTTACATAGATTTTGATTAGGCTATATTAATGCAGTTTACTGTCTTCAAACAGAAAATTCTGAAATACCTTGTTCTACAATTTCTTCGAGAATATCAGACGCTCTCCTTTGATGCATCTTTCTCTTAGCATTACTATGCCATTTTTTGTCACATGGTGCACAACGAGAATCTTTACATTCTATACATTCTATAGTTCCATCCACCTGGCCACATAGGGCGCACAACTCAATATCTATTGGAAAACGAAATAATTAACTATCGAATTTAATTACACCTAACATGAAATTATAATTGTTGATAAATAGGCATGGTCTCTTCTGTCGGTGGACGACACTTGAGTTTGTCGTCGGAGTACAATTTACAATTTAACCAAAGTTATTGTAATTGTTGTAGTTTGTATACGGTACTGATCTAAAAGGACAATTTTTTGCATTACCATACATAAAATATCTTTTACTTGAGCCCTACTAGAGGTTTAGTCTTCTGGGCCCTAACTAGAGAACCTACAGACGGTTTGTCTTGGACCCCTTACCCTTTCCTGTTGGGGTTTTTTGTACTTTATTGGCAAATTTTCGAAGCCAACACTTGTTCCCACTTAGAAGTAAGCAAAAGCATGATTTCCATAAACATGGTACAAGTTCTCTACAGTGTTTTCACTTCAATTGCTACAATGCATAGCTGTCTACAATGCAATCTAGAAGACTTTCCGACTTGTCTTCGACAAACGTCCATTTTTAACTTTCCCAATCAGCGGGGACGAATTATAACCACTGATCAATCATCAGTTTAATTCCCTAAAGGCCATCCGCTCCTTCTCATCAATCATCATTTCGGGCGCATAAAATACCGTTTGATATTATGGTTGTTTGAAAAAATATTAATATGAATATGAATGTTAATCACCTTCCCCAAGTCCTTGATCACTAAAGTCGTTTTTCTCGCTTGCAATTAAATTGATGGTCTGGCGGCAATTTCGTTGCTCATCTATGCTTCTTTCAAACTTTAAATCTTCTTCATGTGACTTTTTGGGGATACAAGTTGATTCTACTGCATGATTTCGTTTATGTGTATTCCTCTTCTTATGACGATGCCATTTGACGTCACATTGGATGCAACGCGCGTCACCACATTCGTCACACGGTACAGCTACATCCTCAACACCGCAAAGAACACAAAGTTCTTTTTCTACTAAACACATAACAAATGTAATTATTATGACCATTGTCACTAAACTCTTGACATAATAATTACTTGAATTGTTTTAATTTAATTTCCCTACCAATTCCCCTTTTGTATTAATATTGTACATGCAGTAAATTAAAGGAAGACATTATTGTAGAAAGTATTTAACTAAGCATAATTTAGACTAATACACCGAGATCGAACCAGCGTGCGTTCCGATGCACTAACAACTGATTTCATCGATCTATTCTGTATTCCTCAACTTACTATGGAGTTTATTACACACGTTAGTTCTAAAAGAGACACGTTAATTAAAGTCACAGATAAGAATAACATCATAAGCTCGGAAAACTTGTAATATCAAAACAGGAACAGAATATTAAGCTTACCCTTTGTTAAATCCTCTTTTGGCCTGTCACGAACACATTTCCTTGACTGAGCTGGTGATGTGTGTGGGCGCGAGTCATCTCTGATCATGGGTAGATTTTTGATATTCATTATAATTTCATGATTTTGATTTGATTGGCTTAGTTGTTGATGTTGTCTTTTAGTTTTATCTGATTTTGTTTGCGGGTAAATTTCATTTTTCAAGCTTCCTATGAATAACAGAATAACACATATTCAGAAAAAAGAAACTTCTAACACATGAATAATTATCTGCAAAGTGTAAACAGAAGTTTGATATTCTGAAAAGTGTTTTAGTCTACCTATTGTATACTGTATCTATATACAGGTACCACATCATTTTAAATTTCTGATAAAAGGACTACAATTGCCACACAACATACTGTACAAGCGTTATCCAGACAATAATGGTAATTGCTTTTCCACATACAGATTCATTGGCCCAACATTCTGGCCCGATGACGAAAAAGTGCAAAAGAGTAATATTTTTGAGTGTGTTTTATCAAATGGATCAAGGAAACAGGGGTTTTATACAATTTTCAGCAAAAAGACTTCGAGGTGTAAATAAAAGTGTATCACTTTATTGGGATGGCACAAAGCTTAATCACGATGTAGCTTTATGTGGTTTAACTTTAAAGCAGTATTAAATGTGTTCATTGTATTCACACTACTTAGTACCGTATATTCAAAGATGTCTGGTGGATTGCCTATAGATATAGGTAGACTTTATTGACAAGTCAGGTAACAATCGGTCCAACAAGACAAATACAGTACCATGTTCACTTAAGCTTGGTTTCCATACAATCGCTACACTGTCGCTACAGTGTTTTCAGTGCAATCGTTGTACTGCGTAACAGTCACCGACGCAATCAGGAACGTTCCCAATTTTAACGACCAATCAGCATCACCGAATGTTGTCGGCGATAGCATGTAGCAATTGTTTAGAAACAAAACTATAGACTTGTGTGGTATCATTCAAATTGATTACAAACAAATGTGTCTATTCCTTTAATTAACTATACCTTTGGAGTGTCCTGATGCTGGTATATTATTAACAACCTCGAAGTCCCCGTGTGATTTTACGTGATTTGTCTGATCATTTCTTCGCAATCCAGTGTGCCTGCTAGGCAATGCGCCTCTTAACGGTGGGCTGCATGTGCTGTCACTGCTGCTGCTACTGCTACTGCTACCAATGCTGTCTGTTGAAACTACTACCTGGTTCCGCTTATGCTTGTCCCTCTTTTTGTGACGATGCCACTTGGTATCACATTGGACACAACGTGCGTCTCCACACTCATCACATGGTATAATCGCGTCCTCAACACCACATAGAACACAGGGTTGTTTTTCTTCATAAAAAAAAGTACACACAGACTATGAATTAAAAACGTTTGCTTTTTTAAAATATGATTCATTAGTTAGAAATGTTTATTATGATCAACATTAACTGTATATTTAATAGTGGCATGCTTATAACCAATTTACCATGTTGGCAGCCTTCTAATCATCATAATAATATTATTAGCATTGTCATCATTAACAACAAACATCTGCCCATTGCAAGAGGTCAAGTGAAATTGTTAATTTGACAGTACAGTGCATCTGCTTTTGCGTTTCTGTCTATTTGTATTATCATTAACAGCGATGAAGTCTAATTTTCCAGAGATATTCTGACGAAGAATTTATACTGGTATTGCCTAATCTTTCTTTCACATAATTTTTTCATAGAACATAAAATAAGCCATGTTTAATATTCACTCTCATGTTAATTATTAACAGCAATAGTAAATTATAACACAGTAACAACGACGAACACGACCACAGCATACTAAAATAGTTATATCTAAATACATGAATAACAAATAGATGCAGCACTAACTCTCCGTAGGTTTTGCCTCAGGCTTTGGTTTTTCATCAGTTACATTTCCTTCATAATCCATATGAGGTGCATCAAATTTCATATCAAATATCTTGATGTGCTTTTGAATATTATTCTCCAAATTGATGCCATCTTTTCTTCGATGCATACTTGTGTTTGAGTGACTATGCCATTTTAGGTGACATGACTGACAGCGGGCATCTTCACAGTCATCACATTCGATGATCGCGTCTTTTAGTTTACAAGTTACGCATTTATCTAGAAATGAAGCAATACAATTAGCACTGTATTGCATTACAAAGAAAATCTAACAGAAATACTTCGTGCGTAGAGGAAGCACTATATATTAGAGTTCTATAGCAGCATAGCTAGCTCAGTACATTTTGTTCCTGGTCCATAGCTGCAGTGTTTCAGCTTAGGAACGGGGAGGGGGAACCTCCGTCGGAGAAAAATACAATTCGTAGGGGGAAACATATATGCATCTTTCTATATATTAAATTGGAAAATTAAGCCTTTGAAACTCCTAAATTGTCAAAATGTTCGCCTTCTGGACAACTTTCGAAAGATTTTGAGAGACACCTAACCACGCCTACTGTTCTGTTCGGGGAAAATCCCCCTTCCACGACCGGGGACATCGGACCCCCAATCGGGCAAATCCTGGCGCCACCCCTACCTGAGAACTGAAAACAAGACACAATAACGCACTATTTTTCGGAAGAGACGATTACATAAGATTGGTATGTACATGCACGATAAAAAAAAAACAGCACACCTTTCAGAGAGGAACGGGGGATTGCCTTCGGGTGTACCGTAATGCTCCACTAAGCACCGAGACACTTATAACTGAGAGTGGTGCATATTTCAAGGTTTTTTTGTGATAAAATGGTAAAATATATTGATTAGCTTATCTGACTTGTTGCAACCTTAGTATTAATTACTCTATGAAAATTGGTTATTTAATTATAAACTTAATTACCTCTTAGCGGTTTATTTTCTGCATTGTCAGGTTCTTGTTGATTTTGCTTATTGGTAGGTAAGTCAATTTTTTTTGTTTTTAGTTCAACATGCGACTGGTTTCTGGGCAAACTGCCACTGTCTGAAGAAGCTGGATCCTGGTTCCGTTGGTGTTTGTTCCTCTTTTTATGACGATGCCATTTTTCGTCACATTGGACGCAACGTGCGTCACCACACTCGGCACACGGGACAGTTGCATCTTCAACACCACAGAGAACACATGGATCTTTTTCTGAGAAATATAATTATATAAACAACTATTTTTCTTATATTTAAGATGTAATTCGTTAGAATAGACCTTTATGTCTCGTTTTTTTGGTTAGGCCTATACCAGATTTGATAATGAACTACTGCTCACAGCAGAGGGGTAGGAAACCGCTCTCTTCCAAATCTCTTCATGATACCGTTGAAATTTAACATAGTTGTGTACAGGGATTTTAAGTCTTATAACACGTGCAATATAATAACTAAAAATGGTTACTTACTTTCTGTAAATTGATTTCTTTCTAGCTTTCCAACTGCTTTTGATTCATGGCCTGGGTATGCTGGTTTACTTTGCAAAGCTTCTGATTGTTTCTTTGAAAATGCGGGTATATCTTCGCTCTTAACGTAAGATCTTGAAATAGCTGATCCTTCAAACTGAGAATTGCTTCCAGTATGTTCGATATTGATAGACATCACCGGTTGTCTGCTCGGTAAATGAGTATTCCTTGAGGAGTGGGAATGCAACTTGACGTCACATTGTTGGCATCGTGCATCTCCATATATATCAAATATGAAAGTAGCCTCTTCCATTCCACAAGTCATGCACATACCTTGAAGTAATTAATATTGTCTTAATTAGTAAAGTGGGAAAGCTATGGTCAACGTAATACTATTATGTACTGACCATACTCGTTTCTTTAATGTATTTAAATGAAAAATATAAGAATATTATAAACCCAAAAAAGTATTTTGTATTATTTACATCAAAACATCTTTTTTTTTACAATAAACGAACCTTTTGTCAGGCTGCAGTACTAACTAAATGGGCATACCTTGTTCGAAATAAATAGCATGTAAGACACACTAGATTTGTGATTAAAAGTTACGGTTACTAACATTTTAGAATGGTGACACCACTCTCTGAGTTTAGTAGACCACCATTTTCTGGTTTCGTATTCAATTGACATTTCTTTAGATATTTTACCATAATCTATTGTGTTTTTCATACCTCGTTTTGTTTTGCTGACCAGTGGTTTCTCAGAAAAACTTGGATGAACTATAATATTTGGAAGTTCAGTTACACGCATTATTATTTTGTTCTCTAAATTCGGCTGAGAACTTCGTTGGTGCTTCTCCCTTCCAACATGAGTATGCCATTTCACGTCACAAGGTTGACATCGAGCATCGCCACATGTATTACAACTGACAATGGCATCCTTTATTCCACATGCCGCACATTTATCTGAAATTTCACATAATTAATGGAAAAATTCTGTTCCGAAAGACCATTTTCCAATATCAAAATGTTGAATTTACATGGTATTTACTATCTAGGCCTATTTCAACAAGAACACCAAATATCACTTAGAGATTTACCTGGGGTTTTTTATTGGTTATTTTTTTTTTGTATATTTTTTTGTTATGATTGATTAAATGATCTGTTGGTCAGTCGGCCTGTTGGATTGTCGGTCGGTCGGTCAACCAACGATGGTATTGTAACACGTTACTAATTGCTATGCAATGTTTGTGTAGTAGAAGTAGTTGCCGTTGTTGTTGTAGAAGCAGCAGTTGTATAATCATAAGTCCACTCTTATAAAGTGGATTCCACTAATTATGACATCATTCACTTTAAAACGATTGCGTAATTCGGTGTCAGAATGGATCTTTCACGCACCAATCTCGAAACATCGTCACATCTGTAGGCACACGGGTTCATTTTGGTGCGCGTATTAAATGTAGTCACTTGTCGATACTTATATATTTACAGTGGTGGCGCCAGGATTTGCCCGACGGGGGTCTGAGGGCCCCACTATATGTAGAAAGTACATATACATTTTTCTCCCCGACGAATTGCGGGTTTTCTCCCCGACGGAGAGTTTTGGTCCCCGACCCTGATGGCGCCACCCTTGTATATCTATGCTACTACACTATACTTACCTTGAAAAACACTGTCACTATTATCGGACTTCACTACTTTTATATTTTGTGGGCTTCTTATATTTTCAGAAGTATCCAATTCTTTTGGGGTAATTGCCTCACTTTCCTGGTTTCCAGATTGGTTGAACAATGCTTTTTGACAACTTGGATTAACTCTAATATTTGGTAGGTCTTGTATTTGCATTGTTATTACATTCGGCTTATCTTTTCGTTGGTGCATCTTTCTTTCGGAATGGGTATGCCATTTCATATCACATGTTTCGCATTTGGAATCTCCACATACTTCACAATGAATAATGGCGTCTTTTATTCCACAGATTACGCATTTGTCTATATAAAAGTAATTGAAACAAGATGTTGTGATTTTAAAACTTTGAAGACAAAAATTTTTGCTCCATTAAACGTACGATGTGAAATAATACCTTCTATAGTTCTCAATTTTTGTTTGTAGACCTAAAGCAACCACTATAATGTTTTTAAATCCTCAAATTTTTGTCGCCTACACTGTAATTTGGTGTACTTGAATCTGAATATGTAAATTGTCAGTAATTTTCATCGAATGATTGTTTTATCAGTTATGTAAACATACCTGATAAATAATTGACTTTAATAATTTTATAAGGATCACTCACCATCTATAGGCTTATTGTCCTGTACATCTTCATCACTTTTCATTAACGGGCGTTTGGGTTGAACTTGAAATTGACTTAAATCTCCTTGGTGTTTTTTCTCATCTTTCTTTGTACTAGGCTGGTCGTTATTTCCAAGTTCTTGGGTCATTTGATGTAATCTGATGTTTGGTAACTCTTTAGTATGCATTTGTATCACACTGAGTGAATTCATCTGATCTTTTCGTTGGTACATCTTTCTTCCGGAATGGTTATGCCATTTGATGTCACATGTTTCACACCTGGCATCTTCACATGTGTCGCAGGGTAAAGTGGCGTCCTGTACGCCACATACAACACATTTACCTGAATTCACAATGTTTAAAACATATCAAGGACTCTGACAGCGTCGTACGAGGCAGTCACACACTATGTGTTGTCGTGTCGGGAATGTGTAAGTTAAGCACAGATCCGTCAGGGACAGTCGCACTGTAGAACATGTAACACAAAAATCGCGTCGGGCTGCTTCGTGCGACGCTGTCTGAGCTGGCCTTTATATGTGTAATATTGCATATTTGATTTTAGAAAAATGTTTGGAACAAATTTGTGAGATAATGAAAGTGTAAAAAACCGCTTCCTATTTGTGGCATTATCTTCAACAATTAGGTGTTTATATGCATTCATTCATATCATCTCATTGAGTAAAAATGAAGCTCATTATGAACAATTATCATTATTATTATTATTATTATTATTATTATTATTATTATTATTAGTATTAGTATTATTATCGACGACAAGCTATGTCACTCAAAGGAATCGAACTATTTTACTCGAACTAGTACGCCTAAAGCCGTTGTTATTATCTAAAGAAAATGAGACTAACTACTTATATATGCAGGTGATCACTAACACCACCTGCGTACCAATTCTTAATAGGCATAGGTCTATATGTCGATACTCACTTCCTGCAAAAGTTTTGTTATCTCTGAGCAAAGAATCCTGTCGTCGTCGATAATGGTGCTCTGATTTTTCGGAATCGTCCTCAAATTCCTTTGAGACATTTTTCTCATCTTCTTGCTTGACAGATTGTTTGAATCGTGATTCTTGGAAATTTGGATTAATTTTCGACAGATCTTTGTCTGATGTTTTGATTTCTTTCACTACACGTGGTTGATGATCCTTCCGTTCTTGTGCCTTGATGTCAGAATCGTCATTGCATTTTTCATCAAACGGCTGGCATCGAACATTATCACATTTATTATCAATTAAAACGACATCTTGTTTTCCACATGTTGCGCATTCATCTATGAAAATATAAAACTTATAATCAAACAAAATAAGGTTAAATTTATATATTACGTTTGTTACCTAATATAGTGTACATAACACTCAACTAACACCAACTAGCATACCTCCACTAGATTCTTTTCCAGCAGTAGAAGCAACATTTCTAATCTGAATTTCGTTTTTGTGGTGTATACATTTGTCCTGTCTCATTTCAAATGCACTTGGCTGTTTTGAAGGAAATGAGCCAAGTTTGATCCTAGGAAGATCTTCTATTTGCATTTCGATACTGTGGATTGACTCGTTGTTCTCGTCCACTTTATGATTTTCTCCTTCATTAGAAATAGTAGTGTTATCTAAAAGCCCAAACAAACGTTTTAATTTTTCAAGTGCATAAACTGTTATTGAAATGATCAATTTACATACAAAGATTTAAAAACATATAACATGTTTTACTATCGTTACTACGAAATCGTTAGCTCGACAGAATTGCATAATATACAAGCTGAATCTTTTCTATAAAGAACAATAGTCAAATTACAGTATATTGATGATGTGCTGTCTTCAATATTAATGGTCAATTTTTTACCTTTTATGCAAGTTTCTGCATTGTCTGATTCCAGGTCTTCATCATAAGAGTCTATGCCGTCTGTGGTTTGGCCAGATGAAATACTATCTTGATCCTCATGAAACGCATCTCTCTGTTTGTCAGGCACATTTTGCTTTGGGTCTAGTCCAGAGAACGTCTTCCATCTATCTAACGACGACACATTCCTAAAGCAAATCTTATCTAAGAACGCGTCTTTTAGATTTGTTGACACGATGGGCACTGACGCTAGTTCCTCGTCGTTTAGACTGTTAGGATTACTAAGAGTTGCCGGCAACGATCGAAAGTCTGTGACACCTTCTACACTACTATTTCTGAGGTGCTCTGATAAAGACAACTTGTTCACTGTCTTTCTTGATTCCATGACTTCAATCCGCCGTCTGTTGGCATGGGATTGACTAAGAGATTGCGGCAGCTAGCCTACACCTACAAAATAGACAATAGACGCATTAAATAATTGATTTAAAACATTATTTCTTCTTTAATTTCCAGAAATATATAAGCATATGAAAACAGGTCATCATTATTTCAGCATATAATATTACATCAGGCTTAAGAAAATTATTATTTTTTTTTTCAATATTAGGCTTCTTATTAATATTATTACTATCATCTTTATTATTATTGTTATTGTTGTTCTTATCGTAACTGTCGTCGTGACCGCCGCCATCATCACTATTATACTTACTATTATTAAGATCATTATTACTATTTTTATTATTTAATTGTTGCTATTACTATTTTAAGTATTGGTAACTTAACTTACATAAATTCAGTCAATATTCGGTTTATAATTCGTCTGTATTCGCCGTATTTATTCGACAATATTGTGTTTCAAAGGTTTCATCGGTATTTGCCCGCATTTAACAGAATGAATTATTGCAGGAACTGGAAAACAAAGATATGTCGAGTCAAAGAAAGGGTTTATGGCCTGACCATAATTCTGGTCAGATCATTATTGTTATTGTTGTTGTGACCACCGCCATCATCTTTATTATGCTTACTATTATTAATATTATTATTATTACTATTTTTATTATTTGTTACTATTATTATTTTAAGTATTGGTAATTTAACTTACCTAAATTCACTCAATATTCGGTTTATAATTCGTCCGTATTCATCGCATCTATTCGACAATAATGTGATTTAAAGGTGTCATCGGTATTTGCCCGCATTCATCAGAATGAATTACTGCAGGAACTGGAAAAACAAAGATATGTCGAGTCGAAAAAAAGGTTTATGGCCTGACCATAATTTTGGTCAGATTATTTAACATAAATATCTCTACCAAAATTAATTAAAAATGTCATCAGTGTAAATGAAAGTACTACATAATCGCTGCACCACCTCACAATCTTTAGTAAAGGACACCTCACCAGAAGACTAAAGTCTTGGTAACCACTCTCCTAACTTTCTTACGATCTCCAACAAGCTGAAGATATCTCCCCTGAGAACTGACCCCAAGGCACTGGAAATCCTTCTTCGGACTTGTGGGTTAACATGGTGTACACCAAATAAATCTAATACAATCCATACATTTTTAGATAATTCGGAAAAATTTTAGTGAAATAATAGGATTATTTTTTTCTATTTGTTTATATATAAACTGTTTATTCTGGCCCATATTCTCCCACCACTGCTATCTCTCTATTTGTCACTGATCTGTAATAGTTTATATTGATTGTTATTTGCCATATACATTTAAGCCTATGCT